GGACTGAGCTGCCAAAGTCCAGTTGAAGAGTGGGAGGAATGAGAATATGAGCAAAGAGGTCAAGACCATGATAGGTACCACCACTACCTGAGCTAATGGGAGCTCACCAACTCCAGCTGGACTGGGAAGGAACCAGCATAGGTACAAACTAGTCCCTCTGAATGTGGTTGACAGTTGCATGACTGGGGCAGACTGAGGGGCCACTGGCAGTGGCACCAGGATTTATCCCTACTGCATGTACTGGCTTTTTGGGAACCTATTCTCTTTGGATGGATACCTTGCTCAGCCTAGATATAGTAGGGAGGGCCTTGGATCTTCCGCAAAGCAATGTGCCTTAGCCTCTCTGAGGATTGGATGGGGGTGGGGTGGGAGGGTATGTGGAGGGAATGAGAGGAGGGGAGGGAGTAGGAACTTGGATTGGTATGCATAATGAAAAAAAGATAGTTTATTTTCTTTTTTCAAAAAAAGAGAGAAGGAGGGAGGGGAAGGAGGAAGGAAGGAAGAAAGGAAGGAAGAAAGAAATCTATTATAAGGACATTATATGATAAAAACTATTTACTGCCTAAAGTGTCAAACAATATTAAAATGGGAGGATTGCACTAAATGTTACTTCCAGAAACAATAATAGAACTTGAACTTTGTTGCATCAAATATTCCCAAAGTCAATATCAGTGATCAGCTAACCCAACAGTAATAAAAAAAAATCAAAAAAGTATGGATGATAACAATACAAAAATAAAATACTAGCTAGATTTATCTTTTCATGAAGGTGGGATTAAGTATATTTAATTTTCCTCTTTGTTCCCTTATTTTTATGTTGAAGCTTTTAGAATGAATACACTCTATTATTTACACCATATACACTGCTGTCAGTTTTAAAATTTACAAGCTAGGCAAGGGTTCTACCACCGAGCAACAGCTCTAACCCTTTATTTTTTAAAACTTTCTTCTAGATTTATTTATTATGTATACAGTGTTGTTCTGCTTGCACAACAGAAGAAGGCACCAGATCTCATTATAGATGGTTGTGAGCCAACATGTGGTTGCTGGGAGTTGAACTCAGTACCTCTGGAAGAACAGCCGGTGCTCTTAACCTCTGAGCTATCTCTCCAGCCACAAACCCTTTATTTTTATTTTGAAATCAAGTGTCCTAAATTGCTCGGGCTGACCTCTGACTTTTGATCTTTCCTTCAACCAGATTACAGGTGTGTGATACCACGTAATCTATTTTCCAAGGTTTCCTAAATCTTTTAAACCAAATTGTGATGATCATGTTGATACTGTTTTCTTAGAGATGAAGGAAACTGGTAGAAACAAGTGTAAGAAATAAAGGTGTAGTCAGAGAATTGGACTCACTGGGAGAAAGAGAATGTTCGACTGATAGAGTTGAGGAAACAGCACTATGATCCTCACGCCACAAGAAAGAAGACCTAGGGCTGGAGAGATGGCTCAGCGGTTAAGAGCATTGCCTGCTCTTCCAAAGGTCTTGGGTTCAATTTCCAGCAACCACATGGTGGCTCACAACCATCTGTAATGAGGTCTGGTGCCCTCTTCTGGCCTTCAGGCATACACACAGAATATTGTATGCATAATAAATAAACAAACAAACAAACAAACATTTTAAAAAAAAAAAAAAGAAAGAAAGAAAGAAGACCTAGCATGCATGGGACCCAGGACCCCAGTGAAAGACCTTGAGTTCAGAGAATGTAACCAAGTACAGTAGTAATGATGGTGGCAGGGTAGTGAGTACTAAGATTGGATAGAAAAATAAACATTGGTTTTTCTGTGCACCCAAGTTAAATCACTATTTACTCTGGGTAATTCATTAAGTCCCATCTGCCTGCACCTTTACTTTTTGTGACCTGGATTCTAATTTCAGAGTTAGTGAGCTTCCTCTCTGAGCAGGGATTTCTTCTCCTCCTCTCCGTAGATTTTCCCAGGAGGAATCTTTCTAAAGTTCTATTCCCTCTGTTCCCGCTCCCAAACACTCTGTATACAAGTTTAAACCTCAAACTGTCACCCCTTCTTAGGGGTAGATGTTCTTTCTTCCTGGAAAACGCTTTCGTTTTTTCTGGGCAGTGGCTTCTGTTCTTGGAATCCAGGCTCAGAATTTTGGGCAGCCCTGCAGCAGGGCCGGAGTGCCTCTTGAACCACAAGAAGTGTTTGCAGGACTTGGTGAAATCCCAACCCCGCAAGCTGCACTTCTTTTTTTTTTTAATTATTATTATTTTTCATTACATTTCTTTCAGGTTAGCTACAAAGTACTGAGTTTCATTATGGAATTTCCATACATATGTGCCCTGCTTTTTTTTTTCCCCATTCATTCCTTCCTCCACTGACCTCCCGTTTCTTTCTAGACCTGAAATAGAAGTCTCCATTTCACCCTGCCCTCAGCAACAGGACACCACAGAGCTAGTCTCTGTTTAGACATTATGGATCTTTGGGGGACATTCCATTTCATGTTGCAAGGGCTCTAAGTGTGCTGGATGGGACAGGAGAGGGGGGGGGGGTGTCTGGAAGTGTGTCTGTGAATTCCCTGGGTAATGATACTATAAATAACTTGAACTCCCACTGGTTGGCTTTTGGTCATAAAGAGCTCATCATTTCAAGTGCAGGCCTATAAAAAAAAAAAACACTGGAGATTGGAGGCCACACGAGCTGAGATCTTTGGTGCATAAGGTAAAGGCATGTTTAAACTGACAGTTTGAAAAGGTTTTGAGTGTTTGGAAGGCACTAACTAGGAATGGCTTTAAGAGAGATAAAATTCGTTAATAATAAATACTAATCTAAGTCAAACTAATCTCAGACTCGAAGTAGATGTAGTAATTGTGCAAGATTTCTTTTTTCTTTAATTCACAGCTCTCTTTGGGGAAAATGAATTTTTCATGTTCTCCCTGCCATGCCTGGGAAATAAAGAAGTGTCTCAGATTGCATGCATGGCATACCATGTGGCAGACAGGTACTTTGTTCCAGGGCCTTACTGCGTGCCCATTCCATAGCCTGGAGGTGGTAGCAGCAGTGGGGACGTTATGGGTGAGAGGCTTTGCGGGAGTACAGCTCTCAGTCCTCCAACCCCGTGTGGTAGGTGTCACAACAGGGCCAAGGTTCTAACACGGGCTTCTCGCTACACCGAGGACCCTTCGGAACCGCACAATCACCAGCCTGCTGCTTTTTAAAGGGGAAACCATCCACTCCCTGAAGTCACTGCAAAGCTGAAGAATTAATAGTGAGGACAAGTAAGTGTCTGCAAGGGCAAGGATGCTCCTGAGAGGCACAAGGGTGGAACAGTCCTGGCTAGCTTGTAAAACTGGAGAACTGAGGGGCTGGAGAGATGGCTCAGTGGTTAAGAGCACTGCCTGCTCTTCCAAAGGTCCTGAGTTCAATTCCCGGCAACCACATGGTGGCTCACAACCATCTGGAATGAGGTCTGGTGCCCTCTTCTGGCCTACAGACATACACACAGACAGAATATTGTATACATAATAAATAAAAAAAAAAGAGAGAGAACTTCTCTCAGAAACTATTTAAAAAAAAAACTGGAGAACTGAGGCAATTACTTAATGACTTGGCCCGAGAGCGGATGGAAATGACCCGTCACACCCGCCCACTGCAGTCTAGTTTCTTAGACTTAGACGCTCCCTTTACTAGGGATGCCGGGGACATGCAGCCACGCCACAACCCCATGACCTCCAGGCTCATAGAACCTCATCAGATGTGTAGTCTGTATAGACTGGAGTATATGTATATACTGTATATATATATACTCTGTGTAGCTGGAATGCCTCTGGGATTCACCGCTCGATCATGAGCTAGAAGGGTTGAATGGAAGCGAGTTCAGTAGTGATGCCTGGTGACCACCTCCAGCGGCTGCATCAGCAGCATGGGGAAGCTCTCGAGCGTGGCAGTAAACTCGGGATAGTAAACGCAGACAATGAAAACCACAGAGGCTTGTCGGGAAACCATTACAATGTGGACTTAACACACACTAAGCATTGGGCGTCATTTCAGGAAAGCCACAGGGGACCTAGGCAGCCTCCCGGACACAGTGTGGAGTGCGGCTGAATGTCCCACTCAAACTTCCAGTGCTTTCGCCCACAAACTTCACCTCTATACCCGATTCTCTCCCCCAACTCCATCTTAACTGGACTGAACACCAGCTTGGTGCATGAAGTCAGGCGTTCTACCACTCAGCTACATCTTAATCTTTCTATTTTGACACAGAGCCTCTCTCTGTTGCAAGGTTGGCCTTGAACTTGTGATCCTTTGCCTCAGCCTAGCAGGGAGGCAGGAGAGCAATGGGAGTATCGTGATTTTGAAGCTGATGAATGGATAAGCCATCCTGGTGCTGGTACTGTTTCTGTTTTTATCTCACTGACCTCCAAATGGCTGTGGTCTGCTTTGTCGCTCAGCAAATATCAAGTGCCCAGACCCTTTCAGGTGCAACAGGTCTGCGGCTTTTGTGCCTGTCGGTGCAACTACAGTTCTCTTGTTGCAAATCAATCTTCCTGTGTGTGAGTGAAGGTATTAAAGAGGTGCCAAGCACTGAAAGTGGGGAGCCAGGTCAGACTCCTAGCTGTGCAGTGTTTGCCGCCGCCATGTTCCAACACAGCCGCAGAGTCTGATTCAAGCTGGGTTTCTTATCCATGGTTCCATTAACCCACAGCGTTTCCAACAGCACCCAATGTTGGGCCGGCTTTCATCAAAAAATTCTGTTCCAAACTTATTTGAAATATTTAAAACTCCAGAACGCAGCGATGAGCTGCGCAGCGCTGGGTCATGACAAGACGCAGCAGCATTTGCTCCCAGGTGCATCGGCTCTGGTTTGTATTTCTTTGTGAGCATAGGTGCCTCCTCTCACTCTGTGGGTGGCCACCTTTTTCTCCCTGAGGAGCCAAGCTGAAAATCAGTGCTCTTCTCCACTCAGCAGATGCTAAGGTGATAAGCTCTGCCTTCTTGGACCCTGCAAGGCTGAATTTGAAGTGTCTTTTCCCTCTCTGAAGGTTCTGGCGATGGACCAGTGTCTCCACACAGGACAACAGCCCTTGTGTCTGGGGACTCCACAGAAGGATGGCTTTGCAGGACCCTCAGTAGGTAAGCCCTTACAGCATTTCCCGGCCACAAGAATTTGCATTTCCTCTAAACTCTAGGATTCTTTAAACTATCATAGGGAGTAGCAGAAGAGTGTCTTTATGCAAACCTTCTATTTTTCATTGTTAACTTATCATTTCCACAATGTTTTATCATCTGTACAGGTCTGAGAGAACTGAATGTTTGAAACAAGAGCAGATGAGACTTCAGATTTGTTTTTGCTTTTAACTCAGATGCATTTTTGGCAAATTTCTCCTGTGGTGGCTCGTTGTCAAGGGTAGTTTCCCCTTAGAGCTATGTGGAAGTTTAGAATTACATCTGGGCATAGATTCAGAAGCAAATAAGCAACAGACATAACCAAGGATGTCATGAGTCATTTAAAACTACTATTTAAAGTAAAACAAAAAATGTTTCACCTCTGCCAAAAAGGGTGGTATCTTTCCTATATTGTTTTCAAGAACTACAAAAGTCTCTAAAATCTGATGTTTAAAGTGATCAATATTTAAAGTGTAATACAGACATTTTTCTTTTTATATACCTTCGGGTGGTCTTACATAGAACTATTTATATGCTCATAACCATCTTAACTCCAGTTCTGGAGATTTGATGCCTTCTATGGCCTCTGCAGAAACTGTACCATGCCCTGTTCCCACAAACATATCTGTATACACAAAGGCCAAATACCCATATACATGAAATAAAGGAACGTAAAAACTACTTAAATCTCACCTTTACTCATCTTCCACATATCACCCGTGCTTTCCGTGTTACTTCCATCTCTGTCGCAGGAACACACACCATCCAAGGCGGGTGTATTTATAGAGTCCTTGTCAAGCCCTGTGAATCTGTAGGGACTGGGAGGGAAACATCCCCCATTGTATTCCTTGGCCTCCTCTTTGTCTGAAGCAGATTCAGCAGCAGCTCACAGTCCTTCCCGGTCATTCCTAAAGACGGGCCTTATCTGTCAGATCCCTGTGAGGGCTGTGGGGCTGCCCCTTGCAAGTCTACGGTGGCCGGTGGCCGGGAGGCCCCCAGGACTGTGTTGCTGGCTCTCAATGAGTAGAGTCCTGAAAACTCAGTTGAAACTCAGCCTTCTGGCCACTGCACTCGCTTCTCTGAGTGTTCTCTGTCTGCTTGTTAACAACCATGGGATCACCAGAGGAACCAAAGGCTTCCCCTAGGTTAATTTACAAATGACTCAGTCAAGCCGGGCGGTGGTGGCGCACGCCTTTAATCCCAGCCCTCGGGGAGGCAGAGGCAGGCAGATCTCTGTGAGTTCGAGACTAGCCTGGTCTACAAGAGCTATTTCCAGGACAGGCTCCAAAGCCACAGAGAAATCCTGTCTTGAAAAACCAAAAAAAAAAAAAAAAAAAAAAAAGACTCAGTCACCCTCACTGTGGTCAAAATTGTCCCTAATATATCCCATGCTAATACCATCGTAAAAGAGAACAAACTTCTAGAAAATAAAATTAAACCGCATATAGACACATAACCTATGAGCCCTAGTTTGTTTTTAAAATTCTATGCAACAATCACTAACACCTGAAGTCGCTGTAGGGCCCGCCTCCACTGAGTAGGGGTTTTTTCCAAGCTCACCACCTTCCTCTTCCACCTTTAGTGGGTGCTCTGACGGACATCAAATGTTCATTGATTGTTTCCCCATCGATTTCCTAGAGCCCAGATTCTACTCCTCTGTGAAAACCTAGTCTTATCTCAGGACACAAAGACAAGAGCCACGCATGTTCCTTCTACTCCAAGGCAGAATCTCTATTGGTGCCACTTTAGTCCTTGGCCAATATATTGTTCATGAGCTCAGCATCCTCATCCTCCTTCCTGACTCTTTGCCCCACTGCTCTGGAAAGCCTGTGAAGATTTATGATCACATGGTCACATGGTACCAGACCCGTCAGGTGCTCTCTTCCTCATTTTATAGGCCATCTGAGACCTGCTATCATGGTCCACGGGGCTGAAGAAGTATTTAAAGCAGTTGTAACTTAATATCTGGAGTTCAGCGAACAGCCTTCCCTAGGCTTGGAGAACTGATTCAACTGTGGGTACCCTGGGCCCTTTGAGGGACAGTTGTGGATTTAAGGGTGCTCCTGCCAACATGTGGGAATACTACCTCACCCCAAGACCTAAAAATAGCCAGATGTGTTTTATCTAGCTCCGCCAAGTTCAGAAAGCTCACTCAGGCTACTTACTTTGCATACAACCAGATAACACTGGTTTCTTTGGGTGGCAAAAGACAATGGAACAGGTCTTTCTTCTGTTTTCTCCTAATGAAGGATCTCCCTAGGAGATGCCCCCTAAGGGACATCCTTTGTCATTAGTGACTGAGAATGAGGGAACCCCAAAGATGCCTGTTGCCAATTCTAAACTAAAAATTCTTTTTGTTTTTTTTTTAAGATTTATTTATTATGTACACAGAGTTCAGCCTCCATGCCTGCAGGCCAGAAGAGAACACCAGATCTCATTACAGATGGTTGTGAGCCACCATGTGGTTGCTGGGAATTGAACTCAGGACCTTTGGAAGAGCAGTCAGTGCTCTTAACCTCTGAGCCATCTCTCCAGCCCTAAACTAAAAATTCTTAACTTTTTTTTTTTCATGTAATAGTTGTATGAGTGTTACATCCCATTTCCAATGTGGTCTACTTACATGTCTTGAAATACTTCAGTAAATATTGTTTAGGGATGGGGGTGTGTAGCGTGTGAATTCCAGTCCCCATCACCCCAGTTATAATTCAGTTTTGTGTTCTATACACAGTCAATAGCTGTTGGCGGTGGCCCTCCAGAGAAAGTTCTGTCTGTTTGGTTTGTTTTTTTTTTTTGGTTTTTCGAGACAGGGTTTCTCTGTGGTTTTGGAGCCTGTCCTGGAACTAGCTCTTGTAGACCAGGCTGGTCTCGAACTCACAGAGATCCGCCTGCCTCTGCCTCCCGAGTGCTGGGATTAAAGGTGTGCGCCACCACCGCCCGGCTAGTTCCATCTGTTTTTATCATACTGATCCATCTGATTTTTTCTGCTTCACAGAGTCCGACAAGATAGAGTCATCTCTTCGTAGTATCGAGAAATTTGTTCCTACAGACTTTGCCAGCTACACGCAAGAGCATTATCAGTTTGCAGGCAAGAAGATCATCATCCAAGAATCCATTGAGAGCTTTGGCACGGTGGTGTGGCCAGGGGTGAGAAGTGCTACATCTGTTTGTGCTCGGGCTTTCTGGCGAGAAAACGTTTCATACATCTGTGTTGCCTAGGACAACTGGCCATGTGCCTTCCCACTTCTGTGCTTTTCCGACTGATGACTAACAGCCTGGCCCCCAGGGGTTTGGGCTGTGTTTGGACGCTGCAGATATATATTTCTTCCAGCAGCACTGGCTTTGAAACAAAATCCTCCTCTCCCTTTCCTGTATCTCCCTCCTCCTCTTGCTCCCTGCCCATCCTTTCTCTTCCTTCTTCCTAGCCTGACAGACACGTGCACCATCCCTAAACAATATTTACTGAAGTATTTCAAGACATGTAAGTAGACCACATTGGAAATGGGATGTAACACTCATACAACTATTACATGAAAAAAAAAAAGTTAAGAATTTTTAGTTTAGAATTGGCAACAGGCATCTTTGGGGTTCCCTCATTCTCAGTCATTGATTAATCCCAGACTTATTTCTCAAGGTAAATTGCAGAGACTTCAGAGGAAACACTCAGCAGCCAGTTCCCTACCTCTCGCTTCCCATGCTTGTGAGGATAGTAGTGAAAACAGACGGAAGTCCATTATCTTCAGGTTGGGTGGTCATGGGCAGACATTTGTCCATTTTTCTTTGGTTTCCTTATTTCTAATGTGAACTAATGGTAACAAGGAGTTGCTGACATGCCTGTTCAGATTAAGGAGGCACTGCACCTAGGCCCCTATTAGCTCTGGTTATTCATACGTTATTCCTACCTCACAGCTGAGAAGACAAGGGCTCAGTAAGTTCATAGGCTGTATAAACCTTAACTCTGGGGTGCTCTAGGGTCTAGTATTACCAGTCTTCCCAATGCAAGCCTGCCCGGGAGGTTAGAAAGGCTCCACAGAATTTCTCAGACTTTGGAGTCATACTGAGATCTTACTGAAATGCATATTTTGAGTGAAGACTGAATCGGGGAAGGAGGAAGGTTGTGACTATTATTTCCTAAGAGCTGTCTAAGAATACATATGATATGGTAAGGGGCTCTAAGCTGGAAAGCCATGACGGTGGCTCTGTGGAGCACTGAGTAGTCATGAAGAGGGTTCCAGGAAGAGGATTCTGCAGGTGGTCCTGGATATTGGTAGTAAGTGGGAGAAGTTAGGTCTTCTGGGGGCTCTTTTGCTATTAATACATGGGTATGACTTTATTCCAGCAAAGGTCTTTTCCCTGATCCAAAGTCTGAATCCTTTCCTATTACATCAGACAAGCAGGTAACTATAGTTATGGTAAACACTGAGAGAAGAAAGGCCTCAGCCTGTCGTGCACCAAACTGGCCTCTCTTGGGATCTCTAAGTGAGAAAATGGCACTTCCTGTGTGATTTACGGTGCAGCTGTCCATGAAGAGAGATTACTTCAGAGTTTGCTTGGAGGGATAGAACTGGGGGGTTTGAAATGTCAAAAGAATACTAATTGGAGGGCAGAGTGTCCTCAGAGGGAGGCTGGCCTCGGCCATCTTCACAAAATCACACAGAATATGCCTTCTGGGCCACTCTAGGTGATACTCAATACTGAAGGTCCACACAAGAACCAAAGCCCCCTTCCTCGCCTCGCTGCTCTCTGGCATCCATGACTCTCACCTGGCAGGCCACGTGGATCTTTTTCTTCAGCTGGTGCACCTCTTCCCATAGGAGGAAGGCTGTACTGAGTTCCCGGTGGTCTCTAGTCTGCCCTGTACCACGCGTATGCCTCGCGTCTGCCACTTAAACCACAGTATTTTGTAACTGGTTTACAAGCCTTAGCCCCTGCCACCAGTATGCCTTGGAAGCCTAGATAACTGCTATTATCCTTGCAGATATCTGTTCAACAGGGGCACAGAGTGCAAACTATTGAGCTCAACGGCTTTGCATCTCCAAGCTCCACGCCCACACTGCAATCCTGGCCTGTGTACGCATGGGTTTGTTACTCTCTTGCATTGCTAGGTGGCATTCCATTCACACATACGGGGGGGGGGGGGGTTCTGGCAGTCCTGGGGCTCACTACATAGGCCAGAGCAGCCTTAAATTCACAGGGATCCTCTTGCCTCTGCCTCCTAAGTGTTGGGAAGAAAGGTGTGTGCCACCATGCCCAGCTGATGCAAATAACACTTCTTTGGTGAATCAATGAGTTATCTCATTATAGAAAACGTTGGGGAAGTAGAAACAAAAGAATAAATGAGCAATGGAAAGGGCACTTGATGGCATTCACAGAAACGAATTTGCTCTCATTGTAGTCCAGACCGGCATCATCAGGACTCATCCAGAACCACAGAAGCTACAGATCTGCGTCTTTAACCAGCTACTCTAAACACATGAAGTACTATTCTGACCATGTTTACCAGCTAAGAGGAAGAAGGAAGGGGGAGCGGGGGAGGACTCCAAATTGGCCAGCTGTCCAAGGCCACAGTCCGTATTAATCTGAATTTTGATGAGAGAACTGGGGGAAAGGTGCTCAAATTTATTTAACTTACCTTAGAGCACTTAGAGACCCAACATGACAAAGCTGGCAGGAATTGCTGTTTTTCAGTACGTGGTTCCCATTTATTCTAAGAGTGGACCAACTTTCTCTTCCTTTCCCTTCTTTCTCCTTTGAGATCAGTCAGGTCTGACACAGACAACAAGACTAATCTATTTCTCCAGTTCCTCAGCTAGAACTATAATATCCACACATTTTCTCTTTCTTTTTCGATGTAGGAAAGAGACAGAATCATACAGTAGCTTGGGCTGGCTCAAGTTCCCCAGTGTTGTGCTTACAGATCTGAGCCTCAGTAGCTGGCTATCTTGGTTCTTAGAGAACACTTACTAAGCTGAACATATTTGGAGTTACACCATAATGTTCAACTACAAGGGTACAGTGGTCTGCTCCTAGCTTCCAGTGATCCAATTCCCAAACGGAAATTGTTGTTAATGTCTTCCAGGCTACAGTTTTGTGCCAGTATTTGGAAGACCATACTGAAGAATTACATCTCCAAGATGCTAAAATACTTGAAATCGGTGCCGGCCCAGGACTTGTCTCCATCGTGTCCAGTCTTTTAGGTATGTGTCTTCTTGTTCCCATTCCAAAGAAATCTCTTCTGTGACAATACTGATCTCTTACTGCTGACCGGGTATGACTTGGCTTCAATTTAATTGAATCATTCCCAAATGTCACGTGACAGGCATCGTTAGTTATTCAGAGATACCAGTCTTGGAGAAGCTAGTCAGCTCCTTCAATTCATTTAGTTTTCAGGCAAGGAAGTTGAAAGTCCAAAGGTATGAAACCAAATCCCTTTGACATTCATGAGTGGGGGTAGAGGTTCAAATTGGGGTGATATTGACATCAAATGTGGTGCACAAAGAACACAGGTCAGGAATACAGGAGAAAATTGTCCAGCTTAAATAGTATCAGCTTGCTCAGCCTATCCCAAGGCATGGTTTAGAGATGCAGATGGTCATTGTCTGTCTTCTAGTAAAGGAAATTGTGTTTGCATGGCCATTTTCATTTCTCTTTCTTTTAGGAGCCCAAGTCACAGCAACAGATCTGCCTGATGTCCTAGGGAATCTTCAATACAATCTTTTAAAAAACACACTGGAACGCGCAGCTCATCTACCTGAAGTGAAGGAACTGGTATGGGGGGAAGACCTGGACCAGAAGTTCCCTAAGTCAAACTTTTATTACGATTACGTCCTGGCTTCTGATGTGGTCTACCACCACTACTTTCTCGATAAGCTTCTGGCTACCATGGTGCACCTTTCCCAGCCAGGCACCGTGGTGCTCTGGGCAAACAAATTCAGATTCAGCACTGATTATGACTTTTTAGACAAGTTCACGCAAGTTTTTGATACCACTCTTGTGGCTGAACATTCGGAGTCATCAGTGAAACTTTTTAAAGGGATACTAAAATGGGACTGATACGTAAAGTACCAGTGTCTTGTGAGCTCTCAGAAGGCACACTCTACCATACTGGTATACCTAGAATAAGTGCAACTCAGTACGACAACTTTCCAAGATGATAAAACCACATGGTCAGTCGAAGTATCTACAGAGAGCAACACAGAAACATGGAAGCTGTCTTGCTAACTTCCCAAGAGCCTTAGTTAAGTGCTGAATATATTTTACACAAAGAAGTTAATGAACAAGTGGGTTCTTCCTACTTGTTTCTACTATACTGCCTGGACTTAATGTGTGCCAATATGCTTTTGTCATAGTTACCGACATGCAACTTAACAGGGTCTGTGTAGCCCAGGGCAACTTTGAAATAGATACACACCGGCCTTAGTCTCCTGATTACAGGTTTGTGCCACAGTGATTGGCATACTGCGGCTAGGAGTATATGGGCTGTAGCAGAGAGATGGTAACACTGACTAAAGGTGCAAACAGGAACCTCCCGGAATGAAGTTGAGAGCACCGGCGATGCGGTCATGGGGACTGGAGTATAGATCTCAGCGCCCATATAACAAGCTGCTGTTCAGCAAACAACTCTTTACAGCCCTAAGGGATCTGATGCCCTCTTCTGGACTCTAAGCACCACAGGTACACACACTGACACATACCTGTGCACACTCAGATACCACATATGTATCTAAATGAAAATTTCTCTCGAGAACTTATACTTTATCTCAACTACATGTAAAATTTCCCATTAGACTTCTATATTGCCTGTTTTCCCCCCACAATTTTCTTATTAAAATTCTTACAACATTAGAAAAGAATGCAATTACTTGTTCATAAGACATCTTTTTTTTGTTTTTGTTTTGTTTTTTTGAGACAGGGTTTCTCTGTGGTTTTGGAGCCTGTCCTGGAACTAGCTCTTGTAGACCAGGCTGGTCTCGAACTCACAGAGATCCGCCTGCCTCTGCCTCCCAAGTGCTGGGATTAAAGGCGTGCGCCACCACCGCCCGGCTCATAAGACATCTTAAAATTAAAAAATACGTATCACAAGGCTGGGGGTATCAGTTAGTAATGTGTTTGCCACATAAGTGTGAAGATCTGGATTCAATCCTTCAGAACCATATTAAAAGCTGGGCACAAGCGCTATCCTCCTGCAATCCCAGGAAGATCCCTGGTGCTTGCTGGATAGCAAGTCTTATTCTAATCGCTGACCTTGTCTCAAATACAAGGTAGACAGTGATGGAGGAAGATACCCAGTGTTCACCTCGGGCTTCCACACAAATGCGCACATAGATGGACATGCACACTTGCCCCATACACTAAAGTTTTTCTTTTGAGAAAGGAAAAATAACGTTCTGACAACCATTATCACACACACATACACACACTTAGGTATCTTCTACTTTCACTAAATAAATAAAAACAACTAATCAACGGCCAATGCATTAGCTATGCTTTCCTAAAAAGGAAGAAAACTTTCTGTAGTACTCTGCTTTAGGATGCAGGAATTACAGGATCAAGTCTTATAGAAGAAACCATGCAGGAAAGAACAGGGTGGCAAACACAGGACATTTATTTGAGAATACTTGCTGTTACTTCCCTGTTGAGTAAGGGTAGAAGTCCATCTGGAAATCACTGGTTTCTCAGTGTGAATGTCAGTGACTGAGTATGATAAAGCCATGGATAGCCATGATGGATGCCATGTGACAGAGCTCATGTGGAGGGTTTTTTCTTTTATGAAGGGGAGAGAAGACCAGCCTGTGGGAACAGGGAGAGAGAGAGAGAGAGAGAGAGAGAGAGAGAGAGAGAGGGAGGGAGGCAGAGAAGCAGAACAGAAAGAAAGATGGAAGGTGGGGGCAGGGCCCATTTAAATGGGAACCGAATAAATGCTCACAGCAGGTGCTCTTAGTGGCTGCAGCTGAAGATTCATCCCAGAACCCCAAGGTCAGACCAGTACAGGTGCCTGAATACTAACAGCCCTACCTTATTATTTATTATAAAAAGATGAAGAGTTAAGAAAGGTGAGGCAGGGATGAGGACACTGTGTTCTCAAGACTACTTCTTGCTGACCTGGTGGTGGGGGAGGCGTCCTTCATCTTCGGGGGACCTGGGAAAGCGGGGGTGCTGGACCGTCCTAGAGCAGCTGGCTGTTTCATTCACTGCCCAGGCTCTGGGGAACTGTCAGGGGCCTCCTGGACCTGGCAATTGCTGTTCAAAGTAGATCCAAATCAACTCCTGAGGACTTAGAGCACCTGAGCATTTCCCATCACTACAACCCTGCTCTACTGCTGATAGTACGGCAACCAAAACTGATTAGGTATGGTCAGTGCGGCTCCCAAAGCATCTCACTGGAAGCAAGGATGTATTAGCAATGACACAGTTCCCATGAATGAGGCAGAGAAGACCCAAGGGTCCGCAATTACTATCTCAGACCACATGGGCTGCTTTATCAAACTGATGGAGCAGGGGCCAAGGACTCTGAGGCTGAGACACAGTCAACCTTCTACCAGGACTTCAAGAAATGCCAAAGGCGAGGAGAAGACAAAATTTGGAAGAGGCTTCACCAAAAAGGCACCACATGTCTAATAAGCATATTATTTATTGTAGGAATGCAGATTAAAACCACAAAAAAGATAATACAACCACTACCCAGTTTAAAAGTAACAGAGGAGAAAAAACAAAACCACCACCACCATCACAACAAACCCAACCCCCATAAAACCTATCACTTTGCAAGCAAGACATTCAATCATTATAGTTATGTTAGAAATCAATTTGAAAGTTTCTTACATAAACAAAAAAGGCCAATAAACAGCAATTTTTCCAAAATATTTCCTTTTTTTAAATCCCTCAGTACAAACACCCATACGGGCAGATAAACAGAATGAATGAAGCTTTTTTTTTTTTTTTTTAAGTATTAATCGGTCATGAAGTGCACCACCACAGGGCCAGCCTAACGTGTGCATTGAACTCAAGAATATGGCACTAAGGAAGCCTGAAGAGATTTCAAATTTTGTCATTCCACTTTGAGAACGGGTAGAAAACTCAAGAGTAGTGATTCAAAGCAGGCCATGGCTTGTTTAGGGACAAAGTAGGAATGGAGATTGACTGCAAATGGACAAATGATTTGTTTTAAAATCAGGTTATGCCAGGTGGCAATGGTGGTGCACGCCTTTAATCCCAACACCTGGGAGGCAGAGGCAGGTGGATCTCTGTGAGTTTGAGGCCAGCCTGGTCTACAGAGCTAGTTCCAGGACTGGCTCCATAGCTACTGGGAAACCCTGTCTCAAAAAAAACAACACAAAAAGAAAGAAAAAGAAAAGAAAAAGGCAGTAACAGGTTGTGCCAGGGCTTGGTGACATGGCTCAGGAAATAAACAAGCTTCCCTGAGTCCAATCTCCAGACTCCACAGGCACATGAGAGTCAACCCCCACAAGTTGCCCTTTGACCTCTGGGTCTGTGTGTGCAAATACCACACAAATAAACATAATGAAAAGTTAAAAAAATTCAAAGGGAGCCCAATTTCTTCTCAAATGTTCTACCTTTGAAGTATATAATGCAGAGAAATAAAATTACAGCTCTTGGATCCTGTTTTTGAAATATCATCTTGGACTTACAAATGTATCTTATGTGTATTTCCAGGGTTAAGATAGATACTTTTAGAAAGTATGGACTGACTATATTAAGTAGACAAACCGCTGCCTGGTATCCAATACACAGTTTATCATAGGGCCACCATAGCTCAACCAGGGAAGCAGACACAGAACAGCCCCCTGGCCTCTACTCCCACAAAACCTTTCTTGTTCTTTGGACCTCCACTCACTTTCCCACTGCAGCAAATTTGAAGCAAATGGCAGAAAAATCTTTTCATCTCCAAGTTCAGTTTGTCCCAAAGTACGAGATGTAACTGGATAAACACATTTGTTTTGTTTTGTTTTGTTTTTTCAAGACAGGGTTTTTCTTTGTAGCCTTGGCTGTCCTGAAACTCACTCTGTAGATAAGGCTGGTCACAGATTCACAGTGACTCTTATGTGCTGGGATTAAAGGCATGGACCACCACTGCCCAGCTTTAAAATACAAATTTTAAAAATTAAGTACACGAATTTCATTGTCTCACGACATGACATTTCTAGTATCTCAGCAGAGACCCCTCAAAGGTCTGTTTCTTTTTTTGGGGGGGGGGGTGTCTATTTCCATCTGCTGTTCCCATATGCTCCTGTTCTTGTAAATCATACATTCTGATGCCTCAGACTTGGAATCAGCTAGGGCAAGCCTAGACTACATCAGTCAAGTTATAACACAAACTGCTGCTGGAAGCTGAGTTTTGAGGTAGTCTACTCAAGGAATCATGGCTGGCATGTGCTATGTATTAACTTGCAAATTCACATACATGAGTCCAACGGCAATTATCATAGCCCCTCTATGTCCTGTGCGTGTTTGCTAAGAGCTGGCGGTCTGTTCCTCAATGCACTTGGGGTGTGTGGCTGGAAGGCACATACACTGAACTCACTGCAGGACTGCCATTAACCACGGTACGGACAAGGACTGCAGAGACCATACAGTCGCTAGCTGGTCAAGAATTCTCACACAAGTGGGGCTTCTACATGAAATTAAACCAGCACTTTTGTATGCCAGCGAGCACCCAGTACTTTCTAAGAGCAAAGCTCCCATCATCCCCTATCTAGTAGATCCAGAGGTTCAGGATTCTGTCAAGGGGAGTGTTTTTATCAGTGTTCCCTGACAGAGAAATACTCATATCTTCCTCTCTTTGGCTTTCATGTTCAGACTCTAGTTTATTTACTACTTTCTTACTTTTTGAAAAGAAATTCCATTTGAGAGGTTTTGGGGACTGCTCTCTCGCTCACCTCCCTGCATGGATGCCTCTTACTTTATATCCCACATGGAGAGAATGGAGACACTGGCATTTTCAAGTCCTGGCCTATTCAGAGATACAGAGACAAGAAAGCATGACACAGAAGCTGCAGGGAATTCGAATCAGCAATTTTTGAATGCACAGTCATCAGCTGAAGGGCTTTGGAGTGGCTGCAAAGACACATTACCAGCCTCTGGCCAAATCACGAGGGTAACGGGCACCATAAAGGAGGCTGGAGTCTGTGTGTCGAAGGACAGGGCTGGCCTCTTCAATGGTGAAAAACATGTAATTCTTGGGTGCAGGTAATAGTACTAGAAGGAATAGGAATCCCATGATGACAAATTGCTTATGAATGGAAAGAGGCTCAGGAAGTAATCCCTAGTACACACTCTGCAGCTCTAATGTTTCTTTGGGATGTTACCTTTTCCCTGCCCTTTAGTTTTCAGTGAAAAGAATCCAAGCATTTGCCACAAAGACTTTCAGTCACTACCTCATCCTTGCATATGAGTGTGTGTGGGGGGGGTAGGGTTGAGGACATGTTCTAGTCTAGAGTTTACTTGAGTTCATCTGGTCTTAAGAAGTATAATCAGGACAAAACAGCAGGTAACACGGCAGCACCTTGACTGTCCCAGTTACCAGACCTGCACAATCAAACTATTTACAAGAATAGCTCATTGGTAATAGTTTACTGACCCCTCCCTACCTGAGGTACTTCACAGGTAGGGGCAGGACCCAGTAGTAAAATAGATTCTGAAATTAATAAAAGGTCACTCTGTATTGACCTTTGGAAACTGCCCTCATCTCTCTGAGCTTTCACTTCTGTCTCTGAGCTAAGACTGGATGTGAGCGCCTGCATGTGTACAGGTGAAAACACATATCATGATGTGAGAGGTCATGCA